GGGGGGGGACATCAAAAGGTGGATTTTATACCCCCCCACCCCCTCTGCACACTCGATTCCCACACCTCACTATAAATCCCACCCCAAAAGGAGCCATTTGTGGGACAATAAGAGCCAATTTATGGGCCTCCAGAAAATGAAGGCAATTCAGAGGTGTGGGATGAAAGATGACAAGGGCATTCTTGAGGTTACAGCCGTTAGCTAGTTGCCCTGTGTTTTTTCACAACTCTACAACAACATTGAATTCTGAAGATGGAAAGAAGAGGTTGGGTATTAGAGGCCTGGAGAATTTTAGGCGCACCAGTTCAGCATAAAATAAGCGCACATACCAAACAAAATAAGCAACTGTTTTATTGAGTTTTTGGCTGCATGGTGTTCTGGGTTTAGATATTAGTTCAGATTTCACATTTAGTCATGTGGCTGTGGATTTGTCTCAGCTTGAATGACCTTGCCTATCCCCTGGAGGTCACAAAACGCTTGCCGTTGAATACATACATAGAGACAATGGCATTAGCAGCTTTTTTGAACACACACGCACACACATGCTAATAGACAGATGCACAGGAGAGGTGGACCAGATCACATCTGCCTCAGAGTTACTCAGGTGTGATGGGATTGCTAGAATACTGACATGGGATGTTTGAGGGGGGAAAAGAAATCACAGAAAGGCCTGTGCTATACCTCAACTATTCAAGCATATACAATAGATCCCTGGCTTGCAGTGAGTGCATTGCCTGATGGGCGTAACAGCAAATCAGGCAATGCACTGCTGCGTTATCTAGCTGCTTGCATGGTTAATCGGTGGGCTACACTCAAATGGTGCATCTCTTTGAGGTTGCCCAACAATGAGTCAGCTACCTACATTAGGTCTGGAAACAACTCCCGAACAAATCAATGATTGCCCCATTTCTTCTTTTTTTTCTTTCTCTACTTCTTTTCTTTTTTTATTCATTTTGTTTAATAGTCTGTAATAGTTACCACATATCATTAAGGCCAACCTCTGTGGCTTCTAACAGCGCTGTAGGCAAGCCAAGTGTTTGTTGTCGGCATTTTATTGGCTTCCAGGGAGGAGGGTTGTTGTTGTTCAGTGTAATCTTGGCACGCCAATAACAGGTTTCAATAAAAGCAGCTGCTTTCTTATGGTAGTTGAGCCGCTCTCTCCCCTACCCCTTTTTGCAAGTGTGTTGAGTGGAATAAATGGAGCGCTTCCTGTAGAGAAGAGTTTGAGTGTCTCCATTTGTCCAAACACATCTGCAGATTTTCTCTTTCTTGCTGTAGCTCTCAAAAATGTTCAGAAATCACTTGGTGCATTTGTTTGTCTTTCTTGTCGTCTCTGTCACTCATTTCTACAGCAGGTTGATGTGGTTTATAAGCTATGACATAGCACAACAAGTTTAACCACACTGCCCCCTTCAGGATAGAGAAGGTTATTGCAAATCAACCAAGATGAAGATATTTCAAAGATTTTTTTGCAGTATTACATCTGTCCTTCTGAAGTAGGTTTGCATACTTTTGAAACACAGGTAAATGACACTGTACGACTAAACTAGATGTGTTTCAGTGATATTAAGTACCTATCCTATAATAATTTTGGCACAATCAGCACTTTAAAAATACAAAATAAAAAAGAGCGCAGTTTTTCCCTTAAAAATCCTTGTCTGAAACTGTTAAAGTCTGTCTGTAAAATAAAGTCTGTCTTATCTATTGTTATATTGGTTGTAGAATTTGTATGAAGATGAAATGAGGAGAAGCGGAGATGAAAATAAGAGCAGAAGGAATGTTAAGACAAGTGGGCAGAAGATTGAGTAAAATTAGAAATAAGTCTGTCTGAAGTGGTGTGTGACTGGACGCCACAAGAAGATTGTGAAACACAGTGTAAACACCATGATTGATTGCACACAGTCCTGCAAATGTAATAAAGCAATAAAAGTTTCAAAAGTTTCCAGGAACTCTTAGAAAGAAACAAACATTTATGAGTAATATGTATAAAATCTTCCCGAGATACCGAGTATGAAGCTTGATACTGACTCCTGATGCAGTGCAAGGAAATAAAAAACGTGTTATCTCAGTTTTGTCCAGAACCAAAAGTTTGATAAATAGGAGTGAAGTCCTCCAGCTTTCGTCACCAAAATATCTCCTTTTCCTTGGCAATGAAATTGAAATTGCCACGACAGTCTACAGCTAAAAGATAAAGAAGTCCATGTGTAACTAAAAGATATCATTTCTCTAGTGTAAAATTAAGAAGCACACTGATAAACATTATTGCATCTCTGCTGGAATATGAACCCTTACACAGCTTAAAGTTTCCTCTCTTGGTTTCCTTGAGGTTCTGTTGTTTTGGTTTTTTTCCTCCAAACAAACCATACAACATTAAAAATTAACAGGGTTTTTTTTGTTTTTGCTTCTTTGTTTTGTTGGGGGGTTTTAGCTATGCTGGTGGCATGGTAGTGTCAGTCTTTTGTTTGCTCTGTCACTTTGTTTTGGGAAATGTCAAGAAACAAAGATTTATACTGATATTTATGGTTCCCAGGACACTAAAGTCAGTGGATTTTTGTAAACCTTATATACTTTGAGTCATATAATGACTCAAATACAAATAAACTTGGCATCACAATAGGGTGTACAAAAACTGTATATAAAAGATGGAGTTTTGGATCTGAAAAATAAAGCCAATGAAGAAGCATCTAGAACCTGCATTAACTTTTCATTTTTTAGGTTTTAGGCACATAGAAAGCTGCAACAAGTCAGATTATGAAGGCAACTATGAGAAAAAGACCCTACCGTAAACTTTTTCCTATTTGTTTTATAATCTCATTAACTAGGCTTGCTTAAGGACAAGATGCTCATTTTGTAAATTAGAGCCATCCATATATTTTCAAAGATAGATCCACCTCCGTCTCATGACATCAAAAACCTCAAGATAGGGCTTCATAATTGTTTTATGTCAATCTAAGCAGAGTTACTACTTGCCACCAAGCAAGGTAGACAAACTTTAAACAATGTCCAAAGTTTGCAGTGACAGTTGGCGAGACCTGACCTAAGAAGGGGATCCCACAGGACTTCACCAACGTCATTAATAGTTGCTACAAAGGCCACTCGCTGACAATGAAGAGTGGAAATGAAAAAAAAGAAAAAAAGAAAGAAGAGGAAAAGGAGGATACAAAAGCAAGACAGTGCTCAATGGATAGATAATAAAGATTAAATGTGCTAAATGCTAAACTAAATGCTGTTATCCTAAAGTATGGGGGAGAGACACTTGAAACTTACGTGTAGACATCAGTTTTTTTCTTCTGTCTACTTTTTAACACTCGTTAGCTTAGCTAGCCAAGCAGCCTAGTGTTTACCAACTCTGCTGGCTGTGATGTCACCGATTCAAGTACGTGTGGGCGTGAATCAGAGTCAAGACCCTGGCAGTCATTGGCTCAAGCTAGAAGCTAGTAGTTTTAACACTTCGTAACCTATCACCTTGGTCTTGGTTACCTTGGTCTGTGAATTTTTCCCTCACTACCCCAACATAACGTTGAATTTGCACGGTCTCAAGCACTGACTGTACAGATATTGCACTGAACAAAAAAAAAAATCTTGCATAGACAATATTGTTGCCCTCAGGATGCACTGCAATCAGTTTCCAATCAGTCAGTTAGTCTATAGCACCAACATTTTCAGCTGTTTAAAATATGCTTTAGTTGTCATCATATTTTGTGGTGCTGCTTATCTATACTATTGAACTGGAGGTACAAATTTGCAGTTTGCAGCAATAACCACAGACCTCAAATTATCATCCAAATCACACAATGTCTACAATCAAATTGGTTTCTGGCAAACATATGGACTGTTTAAGTTCTGCACGCGTATACCCAATCAGCATGAGGTCAGTAGGCAACCATGGGGAACACTACAACCTTTGTCCCAGCTTGCTCCATCCGTACTTGGGCTTGTTTTTGAAGCCTCGGTTTGAACCCTGTGCTATCAGCCACCTGGGAAGTGAGTGACAGCTTTTATATGCCATAACACATGTAACTGATATGAGTCAATGTGACTCATCCAGAAATTACACACGATTTTCCACAAATTAGTTTCAGAGACGTCCCTCCGAGTCAAAAACAACTTTAATTTTTCTTTGTTTCAAATACCCTCCTGAATTAAATACAAGTCCATTTCCATCATCTTTGGACGGGTCCAGCTAATTTTGCAAAAGTCACATCTGACAGAGCCAGACAAATTCACAGAAATGCACCAAAGCTGTCACAAATATTGTTTTCGTGGACGATTTCACAGCCATTTACTAGTCTGTCATGTTGTCAACTAGTCTTGTTGTCGCAGGCCTGAGCGGTCTGATCTCTGAGTGACAACATGTTCTGGTCACATAAAATGTACCGAAGCAGAAAAAAAGGTCTCTTTTTCCACCAGTTCATCAGCGTGTTGTTTCCAAGAAAAACCTCACATCAGTCAAGCTCAAAACAGCAGCTTGTTGCCATTGCTGGAGCCATCTTTGCTAACAGCTGTGCTTTGTAAGTGCAGCACCTCATCACTGACTGTGAGCTGTAGTTTCACCTTTACTTGTTATCATTTGTTTCTTCCACGTGTAGTTGTGCAACCGGTTGGTGGGGGTGATGAGAAAAGCCTGTGTGACTCTTTGAGCTTTCAGAATGGAAATGATTAAATGTACATATGTCAGATTTCCATTTTTGTTCATATCAGCTTGGACCGTAACGCACCCTTGGGCTCTCAACAAATCTGTAAGTCATGAAGCAATCGGGGAGTAATCCTGGAACCCCAGTGCAAAACGAGACACTCGTTATGATTAAAATCATTTTAAGCTTTAATTTCTATTTTTTTAAAAAAAAAAAAATCATGAAAATACAATTAATTCTGTCTTAACTGACTTTTTTCCCAGGTTTAAATGACATAAAGTTTGCATTTGAAAGCCAAACAATGAGTTTGTTCCTACAGCAATCGTGGGGGGGCATAGATTTAAAAAGAGCTGAGGGGGTTTCCTAAGTCAAAGATGGTTGGGAACCAATGGTTTAGATGACAGTATAATAATGGTCATACGGCTGTGACCTCCCAAATGGATTCAGAGGTTATCCATGATTCACTCCGATAATGAGCCTCATCACTTAGGCTGTCACCCTCTCTCCTTTAAGGCCCCAGGCTAATATCTGCAGCCAGCAAAGCATGAAGGAGCAACATGAGCAGCAATCCCATGCAGCACTGGCCACTGTGATACATTACTGTAAGCGAATGAATAATTAGATACTTATTTTGCATAACACAGAAGCCTACTGCACTGTGTGTGACTAGAGCAGGCGAAGAACTGATGTAAACTGGTCTGCTTTTATACTCGCCGGTGCCAGTTTCCACTTGATTTAAACACATGTAAACACATTTTCCCTGAGGTGCATATTGCCGGCATTCAAAGGCTTTTTTTTCTTAAGCTACAGTTACACTTGACGCCAAGGGAAATCAGGCCTTGGATTTACAGTTCTTCAGCTTGTCAAGTACTTTAAGGAAATGACATTCAGTTATGGTTACTTCCTCAGAATTGTATGTCATTTGAATGTGTACACATACACAAACATGACTGCAAGGCTTTCAATGGCTTTGGCGGGAGAGCTGTCTCCCTTTTGTTGGGAATCTTTACCTGTACAGCATGCATTGCAGATGGCTCTTTGGTGCTTTTCCTGAGTTCTTTCCGTGTTACTTAGAGGCAGTCAAGACAGATTGCAACCTATCCAGTTAGGTGAGATCTGCAGGGACACAGTCTGCGATAGGACGGATCAGAGCCAGCACAACTGAAAAGCAGGGGCTCCTGCTGGAGGCCACACTGACGACCCCAAGGACTGTAAGAAGGAAACAAGTGGTTGAGTTCTGGCAGCACGCTGGCGCAACTTAATCCAAGCCTGCAAATTAAAAAAAGGTAATTAGTTTATTTGCATATACAGTAGTGTACATGTTGATACTATAGAACATTCTACTATATTGCATTGTATTCGTTTAATGGTGTCTTTGTGATCTTGTTCAGTTTTATGGGGAATCCTGGATGTTGTACAAGAAAAACGGCTGTGCTTACTGATTTTTATCTGCTGAAAAGGTTACACAGCATTAACATTCGGCTCTTATTACCACCAAGAGATCTCAAACATGATTTTATTCATGTTTTGTCCTCGGTCTGTTTCCAGATGTGCATGTGTCAGTGTTTGCTAATTTCTCACCTGGTAAACGCAGCAGGGGTGTTGAGGTGGTGAAACAGAGCCGGCTCACACACAAGGGAGGACCGCCGGCACACACTCACACAGGACTGACCCAGTGGAGCGAGGTGAACCCTCAGAGCACTTTTTGGTGGCCAAGTAGGGACAGATTTACTGCAGAAGTTCTTGATGATAACAAAGAGAAGAAAAAAACTGACAACGATTAGAGTTTGAACCAAGCAAGAACTGAAAAATCTCTCCCCTATCTAACACTCATAAGGGAACAAAGGCCTGGGAAACAATCCTGACTTTAAATTAAAATCTGGATTTATCTATTATATAGATACACATAGGGTCTTCTTCTTGTTCTTCCTCTTTGATAATATTCTGTTTGGTGGATCCCCAACTGGAGAAATCTTTTTCTGGCAATACTTTACTCATATGAACTGCAGTTGTGATCAGAAGTTTCCATGCACTCATCATGGGCATGAATGATATGGTATTGCTCTATTGGAATATCCAATAGTTTTAGGTAAAGGTAAAGTTAGGTAGGTAAAGTTTAAGAATTTAGAGGTAGACCTCCATGCTGATACAGTGTTGTTAGGTTTGAAAGGCTGAGATTTACTCCTCCAAACATACCTCTTGTCACTGTGGCTAAATAGCTCAATCTTTGTCTCATATGATCATAAAACATTTCTCCAGATGACATCTGGCTTGTCCACGTGGGCAGCTGCAAATTTTTAGTCAAGCTTGAATACATCAATTTTCGAGCACTGTGATGTAAAAAATCGCTTTACAGTGACGTTGGTGTTCCAGGAGTTTCAAGTTTAGGGCAGGCTTGAGCCTTCATGCTTCCTGCGTTGTTCCTGAACCCATATTCCCTTTTGAGGACCTTTGCAAAGAAGTGACACATCTGAATAACTTGTGCTTACGTACAACTGTCTGAATTATGATCTTGGAATCTGCAGTTGTTTAGAAATGGCTCCAACTAGTGTAAATCCACAGTTCTCCTTCTTAGCTCTTCACTGAGTTCTTTGGACTTTCCCAATGTTCTGAGGTCAATCCAGTGAGGACTGTCAAACAAATCCTTTTTGTGCCAGCAAAGAGAAAGAGTTGTAGGCTATCGTGATCACTAATGAGATGTTAATAGGCTTTGGCCTGGTCAAGTTAAAAGACCCTGTAGAACCTTAAACTTATTAAAAGATTGAAGTGAGTGTCTGTATACATCTGAGACTGTAAGTCTAATTTAAAACCTGTGAGGATTAGAGAAAATCCAAAATAATTACCAACTTGTGCACCCAATTTTTCATTTGTAAAGTCATTAAAGATGTATGCTGTACAATCATTCCACTCTGGAAAGAACAGTTAAAAAAAATAATTAAAAGCTCCAAATTATAGTGTAAAATTCTGACCACAAAAATTCCAACAAAGGCACAGAGGCGTCAACTGATAGGTTTACAAAGGCATGCACTCTTTTTTGAGATTTCCACACATTTCAGAACATACTTCATAAATCTGATTTATGACTGAAATTTGCTGGGGTACCACCTAATAATAATACTCCATCTCTTTTTTACATCTTTGTACCTGGTGAGTGATGTAACCAAGGACCCGCTTCAGCATTCCCACACAAGTGAACTCCTGAGGAGTGAAGGACTTCACCTGCAAGATCAGACATAAACACGCTACCTTAAATGGAATTTGGGGAAATAATATGTGTGCATGTTTGTACTGAGCATACAGTTTAACTGTGATTTAGTATGTTTAGTGGAAACTACCTCACTTCTTAGAATCGCTTTGACGGCCTCGCGTATGTCACTCTTGTTGGTCACATCCACAGTCCATACGTAGGGTTTACCAATGAATTCCTCAGCATAAGGGTGCTGGGAGGAGATCTGCGATTGAAAATTATCAACTGTTATTATATCTTTGATAAAATATTGCCAGTATTTGGGATTCAACAATGAAATAACAATTTAGATAATATAAAATATTTATTTTCACGTTTTATCCCCATGATTTAAGAGTTGCTTACCTGTCTTGTGGTGGGCTTGCCCTTGTAGAAGTCATTGTTGGCTGATGAGTGTGGAGGGTCAAATCTCGGCTGAATAAAGACACATCCCATTCCTATTGCCTCAATAGGTGCTGGACCTTCATAGGGGAAGCCAAGACCTACAAACAACTGAAAGGGAAGATTTATAATATTGCAGGTTATCCAAAATAATTCTCTGGCTTTTTACACTGTGATCGGCTCTAATTAGACCTTAGTTTTACGGAGAAGTTGTTGAAAGTGTTCCTGAGTCAGCAGTCCGTGGTTTCTGATGAAGCTGGGCAGATGCAATGTGTGTCCAGGAGGCTGATAGACTGTGGCGTGAGTCTCCAGTTCTTCACTGATCACTTTCACATACTCATATTTACCCTGGAGATTACACACAGAAAAACAACAACAACAACAAAAAAACAGATGCATCACTGAGTACATGAAATTCAAGCGTGTTCAAAACCAAAATATACATGATATAAATATTTTCTTCTGTCCTGTGGCGCTATTTATCCATCTGGTGTAAGCTTCCCAATTTTGGTGATACCGGCTGTAGAAATGTTTGCCTTCACATCAGCATAACGGAATAAACATCGCCAGTCTTGTGGTTCTCCAAAAAAGTTCCAAAAAATGCCTTTTAAAAACAGAAATAACGATCAAGTTTCTCAAATAAAGCCACAAACTTTCTGTGAGCAACAGAACCATTTCCATTCTACCAAAGTAAACCCACCAACCTGGCAAACATGCAAATAAATGGAGTGGTATTTATATAGTATGGTATTTAACTGTTCTGCTCTAATTGAATGAAATCACACCACATAAGCCATATTCACCCATTTACATGGAATTACTTCTGCTCCTTTAAGTGAGCTCAACCTAATAGTTGCATCGAGAGAAATTAGGGGTTCAGTGTTTCCAAAGTTTGCTCAACAACATTTGGTAACATGTAGACTGGACTCCTAGCTCCTAGCTATCTACCACTGATGAGACACTTGACATTAATGCTCCATGTCTCATCTATAAGGTTTGTTAGTTGTGTGTTTTCTTTAGCTGGCAGGCATAGTTTGGTATAAAGGCAAAAGCTTCACAACAATTGCCATGGAGCTTCAGATTTACTTATCTTTTAACTTTTCAACAATTCAAGTGGCTAGTTCCCTTAGTAACGCAGTTATTAGCAGTACTATCTAGAACCATCGTACTCGAGAGAAGGCAGACATTTTTATACCAAAACACCCAAAACATGAATCCTTAAATAAGTAGTACTACAGGTTTGTCTATTAACAAGTATTTTTTGAGTTTTAGGTGACGTACAAACTAAGATCTAGTCGATATGGTGGCCACGAGGTTTCAAACGCATTGCAACTTAAGGAAATGTCAATGTGTTTTTTTTCTACTGCCATTGTGTTTTATTCAAGCTCAGCTGTGTTGTGTGTTTTTTAATAGTTGGTGTTTTCCTAAGGTTGCAGTGCATTTAACCTCTCATAGCCATCAAGTAGAGGACTTCTTGGCATAATTTGTTGTGAATGTTTGTTTTCTGGCATATATGCACTTTTTTTGGTCCTCATACCTGCCACATGTAGTCCTGTTTTCCATAGACCATCGCTATTCTGTCTTTCTTGTAGCTCACTGGCTCGAGCTCGCTTCCCTTCCTAACGGTCCCTTCACTCACAAAGCCCAGGAAGGAATTATCAGGAGTGTGAGCTGGAGAGAACAGAGCAAAGAGGACTTAAAGGAGATCTAAAAATAATTACTCAAGGGTTTGAACTTCAGCTACATTCAGAGAGAAAAAGGTAAAGCAGTCCAGTAAGTTTTTGGTAGAAATGCTGACAGACTTGAGCAGAAACTTCTCTCTAACTTGGTGATTATTTTAACTAAACAGTGATCAAAGACGGTGAACACTTATGAACCTATCTGCTCTGAAGATGACATAAAGAATAAGCTGATTGAGAGAAATGTGAAGGCTACTATTACCGAGGACGCTTATTAGGACTATAGTTGAATAACAGTTTATATTAAAATTCTGCAAGAGAGGAAAAACATGCTGTGCAGCATAAATCATCCGCTGAAGGAAATGAGAACTCCACATATATAAGAGGGTTAGGTGTTTGGATAGGCAGCTGCCACCCTGCTGCCCTCTGACACACTGAGGTAGGTGTGAGAGATGAGTATTTACTTTAAAAGGAATGTGCCAGCAAAGGTGTATGTTCAAACATCGATTTGTAACCTTTGCGTGTGTGTGTGTGCTGTCCTCTTGTCTCAAGATACTTGTTTAAAAGACCTTTGCCAAATCTCCCCTCATTCACCCAGCACAGAATTTCCTGCTGGCTTCTTTTCAGCTCCACTTGTCTCCAGCGTCTGTCTGGGTTCACCGCTTCACACACACCTATCAGATATAGTAGTGATATGCAATGAAACACTGCTATGGTCATGCAGCTTGTGGGGGTTTGGAGAAAAGCTGGGAGTGAATGAAGCGACCTTTGGTTTCTTCTGCCTGTTTACAGTTCTGGTTTCCTGTAATCCTTCAGTCAACTGTCTTCCTCTGGACTTTTGCAAAACAGAAGCATAAATGCTTAAACATTCTCAAACTTCATTCTTTTCTTTCTTCCTACCGTGTCCTTCTTCTGTTTTGTTTTCTTTCTGTCTTTTGGTCCTTCTCACATCCTCAACTAACACCCCCCTCCTCCTTTAGCAGGACAAATAAACAGTGTTCCAAGCTGAGGGATGAAGAGTGGCTCTCGGCCCAGGGCTTCCAGCTTTTCTCCATCTCCCGGCAGGGTGGGAAAGATGACAAGGAGAGGTGTTGGAATGAAAGCTCCGTCTGGGCTCGAAGTTTATTTAACCTTAGCTGTTAATCCTCTCATTGTAAGGACACTTAGAGGGTTGCATTGGAGACATATATTTAGAGTGCATTTTAAGATAATTGTATCCATGCGTAGGAAAGACATAGGTACAAATCAACATGCGTACAAAATAACTTACGGAACATGGTCATGTACTGTAGAGGTTGGAGATCCCAGCTGCCCCACAGCGTTTTATATCCATGGCTATGTGCATAGCTCGCAAAGTTAAAGGCCGGTTCAGTGCCAAATGAGTCCAAGATTCTGAAGCGACACCTAGAAAGATTGTTGTTTTTGTCATTCATTGATATACTTATTACTACATGTTTTGGCGCATAAAGCTGCAATCATCATGTGACATACTTATATTTAAAATCTCACAAAGCCCTTAATGTGTCGGGCAAATATCAGGGCCAATAAAAACTGGACAAAACAACATGTAAATGTTTAATTGCTTTGACTAAAGGATCTCACAGTTTTCCTACTTCACACTGAAACAATAATCCACTAAAGCAAGCTGTATAAACGTGTCATACAAGTTCAACTTTATGGAAAACAGAAGTAATTTTTTATTATTGTTGTTATTATCGCTGGTGGGGTTTTTTTTTTATTAATGACAATAATGGTAGTTTCTAAATTATTTATCACTACATCAAAAGTCTTCATAAGAAAGGACTTGAAATGTACTTCCTATATGATCCAGAAAATTGTTTATGTACTGGTAATGCTTGAAAGCCAGTCCCATGGCTCCTTGGAGGTGAGCGAGGCCATGATAGTCGGTATAAATGAGGTCAAAGTTGAGGGGCCTTTGGATCGGACAGCTGCCTCTGCCTGGAGCAGCACCTATCAAGCTGAATTAATCACAACAAACACAAGTCAGGTTCTAGAAAGGACAACAATAATATTGTTTCCCTCTTTTCATCACTACAGTGTAAAGTAATCACAGATTAGCTGGACTGACAAACACAAGGTTGTGTAAAACATGTATAAACTGGCTTTAAGGTCTGTAATTACATCATATATCAGTGATGCCAGAGTATAAATCCTATTCAGTCCAATTAACTAATGAAATTATGTCAAAATAAATAAAATTAGTAGTAGTAACCTGTGAAGTTGGTGCTGTGAGGTGCTGAAGATCAGGTTGTGGCCAAGGATTGTTAGACAAGCGCTGAGGTCTGCCCACTGAACCAGTTCTCCTAAAGGACCACCTCTTTCCACCATTGCTTCAAAACGCTGGCCAACACTTCCAGACAGGGCACCAGGATAAAGCAGCACCTTAAGTATATAAAGTCCCAAATTATTATTTCACTGATTATCAACTATATAAAATGAAATACCTCAATAAACTTTAATCACTTATACATATACATATACCCTCATCTGTGTGGAGACTGTGTTATTGCTGCTCTCTTTCATCCTCAGACCAGCCTGTATCCACCGTTCAGACATTTTTTCCACTCTGGAGCGGATAAACTTAATTGCTGGGCTGCTGTTGTTGCTGATCGCCTCATACAGTGGGAGTAGAGATTTACGTATCTCAGCCTGCAAATTATTATAACATGAAAGCAGTGAAAATGTCATCATTCCACATCAACATACACAAGCGCATCAAGAAGCTACCTTCTTTGTATGAGCTTGAGGTTTCTGATGCCATGGCAGACTAGAGTGGTTTCTTCCATCTCGAGGGGGACAAAAGTCCTCTGTCTGGCTGAGGTAAGTCAGTACGGAGCAAGTGGTACCATCCATTCCATAAAAAGCATAACAGGGGTCTGACTGCCACTGAGCCTGCAGGAACTGCCACAGAGAAACTTGTTATGTTATTAAACATGTTTTTTACCTGGTCAAAATTGGTCTTTGTACACTGCAAAAACGGAACCATAAATGACACATTCAATTCACTGCCATTCATTTCAATACAACTGAACTCATTTCACTTTTATTTATATAGCACCAAATCGCAACAGCAGCATATTATAAGGTAAAGACTCTATAATAATAGAGGGAAAACCCCAACACTGGCTCCCTATGAGCAGGTACTTGGCAACAGTGGGAAGAAAAAACTTCAGTTTAACAGGAAGAAACCTCTGGCAGATCCAGATTCATACTAAGGCAGGGCATCTGCCATGATTGGTTGGGGGTGAGGAGAGAACGATAAGACACACTGAAAAAGAGCTGGAGATTAATAAAAGTAATGATTAAATGCAAAATGGTGCATAAGCACAAATAGTGAAAACAGAGGAGTGAAGAATAAAGGCTCAGTGCATCATGGGAAGCCCCCAGCAGACTAGGCCTATTGCAGTGTAACTAAGGGAGGATTCAGAATCACCTGTCCTAGCCCTAACTATATGCTATATTAAAAATGAAAGAGAGAGCACCTTTAGGTAGAGAGTGAGTAGGTACCTTTTTAGATACTGTTTCTAAGATTTTTAGAACAGAGTACTATAACCTTACTTTTATCTTAATTTAGAAACAGGAAGTTAGAGGTCTTTATGTTTTTAAGACATTCCTGCAGATAAACTAATTGCTGTGTGTCATTTTGCTTCATGGGTAGAAAGAGCTGGTGTCATCTGTATAACAATAAAAATATATGGTGTACCTTCTAAGGGAAGCATTTATGATGTAAATAGAATTGGTCCCAGTACAGAACCCTGTGGAACTCCACAATTAACCTTAGTGTGAAAAGAAGACTCCACATTTAGATGAACAAATTTTTGACATTGATTCCACATACAGTAGAATAGAGCTTTAGTCACACCCTCTCACAAAGAGAGAAGAGAGAGAAAAGTATAGATCAGGTGATTACAATGAAGGAACTAAATGCATTTGTCAGCAACAACTAATTTGATTAGCACTTGATTGTGTATGGACAGCCACAGAGCGTCTTTTCCATTTACAAGGACTAGTATTATCTGGTTTTTAAGAAAATGCACAACACTTGTGTTACATAATGAATTTAACATATTGGCCAGTTACAGATGTTGCGTCATAAAGCCATGGATGGAGCTGATACAACAACCAATCTATTAGCTAAGTAGGATTAGAAATGGAAGTCTTGTCTCTTAACCAGAAATAGATATTGACAAAGGTCATTCAAGGTTGAAATGTTTGCTAGGATGTCTTCATAGTAAAAAAAATAAAATAAAAA